GCGATCGGCGTCGGCCACGGCGCCAGGTGCGGACACGGGGACGCAGGTAGGACGCGGCGCCCACCCTCCGCGGCCCCGCCTCTCTCCTGCTTTCGGTTTCCCGTCGTTTGCCGTGACTTTTAAGGAGCCCTGGTGACCCCGTGGTTCAGTGCTCAGGGGACTAACTGAAAGGTCAGCTGTTCGCCGCCGCCAGCCGCCCAGCAGCAGAAAGATGTGACAATCTGCTTCCGTTTAGTGTCCCTCCGCGTGACCCTAGGGCACAGGACTGCCCCCCCCTCCCCGCCCCGGCCTCCCCACTGGGTTTCCAAGACTGTAAATCCTTGTGGGAGCAAATTTTCTCTGTTGGAGCCCTGGTGGGCTCGAACCGCCCAACTTTCTCTTAGCAGCTGAGCGCTTAACCACTGTGCCACCAGCACGCCTTCCGTAAAAATTACAGTCTTGGGAACTTGATTGGGCGGGGCGGGGGGGGGGGCAGACTTGCTTCACCCTCCCCCCATAGGCTCACTATGGGTTGGACTCGCGTTAATGGGCTTGCTGTGCACTTTTGTGGGCTGGCCCTGCGGTTCTCCTGAAATTTCTAGGGCCCTGGACCCACTGGGGGAGGGTCGCTAATCCCTCTGAGAATCTGATGGAAAGCGCAGATCCTTTCCCCACACATACGCACAAAGTTAATCTTAAGAGTACTCCCGGGCTCCAGGTACACATCGGCACCACGCCATGTCAGCGTCCAGCAACCGCACGTGACAGGAGAATGACCTCAAAGAATGACCAAGAGTAATCTTGGCAGGAGCTGCCTGCTACAATCTCCACCGGCAGGACCACTGTCGGGTTCGAACCGCAGACCTACGGGTTAGCAGCCCCACTCTCTTAGCAGTTCTGCGTTAGTTCGTCCTTCCTTAACATATGAGAAACAGCTCACTCATTCCAGAATTTGGATTCCTGTCGGTTAGTGTCCTGCCTGTGGTAAGGGGTGGGCTGATTGGTTGGTACACCCCCGCCCCCATTAAACTGGTAATCATTATTTGTTTAAAAGTTTAGTGGCTCTGAGACACACCAAGGGGAAGTGTGTGTGTGTGTGTGTGTGTGTGTGTGTAGAGCGAGGACTGGATCAGCTGGCATGGTATTTTAGATAT